CACCACAGGGGACGCCATGGACAAGATGCCAGTCCACCACAGGGGACGCCCTGGACAGGATGCCAGTCCATCACAGGGGACGCCCTGGACAGGATGCCAGTCCACCACAGGGGACGCCCTGGACAGGATGCCAGTCCATCACAGGGGACGCCCTGGACAGGATGCCAGTCCATCACAAGGTTTCCAGATAGAGTTACCGATTAAAAACGCAGCAGTCGCACCGAGGGTGACCTTGGCCCCTTGTCCTCACGTTGTTGCGTGCTGCAGAACACCGGCAACCACAGAGAGAAACAGGAAGCTGTTGCTTTTAAAGCCAGAACAAAGGAAGGATGCGAGTGAGCGTCAGCGCGGATGATTTCCTCTGTTACGACACGCCATATCCTCCTGCAGCACGGACACCCCTGGGTTGGGAAAGGATTCGAGGGAGGGGGGCGGGGTGATCGGCACTGAACCGAGGCCTGCCTGCATTCAGGTGGGTGTGTGTGTGTGGGGGGGTGCCTATGGTAGAACAGAAGGCAGAAGGGGGCAGGGAATTTAAAGAGAAACAAACTACTGGAAGATGAGGTGCCAGGAGGGGAGGCTTGGAATGTGGATGACCCTGCCCTATGAAAGGAGAGACCAAAATAATCCCAGTAGTGCAAAATCCAAACGTACCTTCTGAGGATCCATGACTGTGCTGAGGAACGAGGCTGTTGTCACTTCCCTGATTAAGGACGAGGGGGACTTTGGCACAGGGCTGCCCACCAGGTGCCGCGTCAGCGGGCTGTATGGGACGCTGAAGTTCTGTATGAAGTGATCTGGAACAAAGCCCCCGCGTGGAGGTGAACGGCAGTGCCAATGAGCCGGACACGACCAGAAACCCCGGATCCCGGCTGACGGGGTCGACTGGACCCGCAGGGGCTACTTCCCCGAGGGGCTACTTCCCCAAGGGGGCCACTTCCTGCTCTACACAGTGAAAACAGACCACCTGCAGCTAATGACTTAGTATCAGTTCCCCCGCTGGAGTTAATTTTCTGCAAACTCATGTATCAACATCCTCTTTTCCTTATTATTTAGTCACTCGCCGTTCTGGTAACTAGGCAGCATTTACAACCCTGTCAACTCTATAAAAATACTAAATCGGGCATAAAAATCCAAGCAGGCACGATGACATGTGAACGTCACAGATATCCGATCCAGGACGAGAATTTGATGGTTAACGACTGGCGAAGGCTCACCTAGAGTGTCGCTGAGTGTGCTGTTGAGGTCCGAGATGTAATGGGTCTCTTCCGGAAGGTTCACTATGGTCAGGAAGAGGCGCCGCCCGTCGGCCCTGGGGGCCCCCAGCCGCTCGGCCAGCTTCCAGTGCAGGTGGGAGTCCAGCAGGTAGAAGCGCAGTGTTTTGTTAGTCCTGCATCTGAGACCCATGAGGCCCAGGAGAGAAGGCTCCCCGTCGGAAGGGACCCCCGAGTCTCGAGTTCGAGGCGGCGGGGGGGGAGGGAGCCCCAGGGTCTTGCAGCACGCGCTGTAGCGGCTGAACGGGCTATAAGAGGCGACGACATTGCTGCAGGCCGCACCGTGCATCATTAGGTGGGCGAAGGTGCGTCGCATGAGGTGAAAGGACTCCAGTGCTGCCCCCATGTGGTGGAAGGGACAGTGGGCAGTTCGGATGGCACTGGGCCACACGCCCGCCGATTCCTTCAGGCACAGCTCGCACACGTTATGCATGCGCGCCATGGCGTTCCAGTGAGGCAGTACCACCGTGTTGCAGCAGGGGGCGACAGAATTCTGGGTCCCCTGTAACTGCCCCATGCCATCTTGCTCCGCCCCGTCGCTGTGGTTGCAGGCGTGGTACTGCAGGGCGACTTCAGCGATCTGCAAGGACAGCACTGCCAAGTCACGCTCGCATCGATTCACAGGGCACTCGTAACCGGCAATCAGACGCCCACTTTAGTTAACGGAGATTAATTTGCAGGTCGGCACAAGATTCTATCCTGTCACAGCGCCCCTGACTGTTTATTTTGTATCAGCATTAGTCAGTTAAACAGCAAGGAAAAAAAAAAGCTGAATTTTCTATTCCAGAGAACCTAACATAATATTTAATTTCAATGTCATGATAATAATACCCTATGATAAAAGTACAATGTCTTTGATTTAGAAGCATTATCCTTAGCTATTTGAGAAAGTGGGATTAAAAACGGCGACTGCAGCACCATCTGCAGGCTGGCAGCTGAAGTACAGTGCGAGTGTTATGGCCCAGGAAGCAGGGAGAGGCTGACTCACTTGACAGATTATTTTGGAGGAAAACTGGTTACTCATCGCATCAAAGAGGGCAAATTATGAATAATCATTACAGTGGTTTACACAGATTTTACAGTGCTGCTTGAAACCTTGAAGACTGCTAACTTAGCTACCAAAATGTCATTTGTCACATACAAAAAAAAAAAAAACCCTGTTCCATCAAAATCAATATGCAAGATTTAAAATAAATGCGTGTCAGAGCACATATCAGCCGGCATAGTGTGACAGACAACCAGCCAGTCTGGGTGAGCACCGCCTACAGAAAGACTGCCTCATCACTGCGAAAGGCAGCCCTGAGGGCCGCGGCACGGCAGCCCTGAGGGCCGCGGCAAGGCAGCCCTGGGGGCCGCGGCAAGGCAGCCCTGGGGGCCGCGGCAAGGCACCCAGATGCGGACGTACTTCAGAAAGGCCACATGTATTAAACTTTCGCTTGAATTGAGAAATTGGAGCTTCTGCAATATAAACTTTCAAACAGCTAAGCTAAGCTAACATATTTTAATATTTACACTTTATTTATTTATCCAAAGCAACATAGATTTCAGAAAGCAGGGTCAGCTAGCTCCTGGAGCCATTGCGGGAGTGAAGGGGCCCTTGCTCAGGGGCCCGATAGTGACATCACTCTGCCGACCCTGGGATTTAATAAACAGAAATAAATCCTTTATTTGCCATTTGCCCAATACATTGAAATTCTTCTCTTTGCCTACTCCATCTTGCTCGCCATAGCTTAGGGGTCACAGCGCAGGGTCAGCGAAGGGCTTAGGGGGGGGGCTCAAGGGCCCTTGAACTTGTGACTGCTCTGCTGAAGTGGGGGCTCAACCCAGTGATCTTCTGATCACGGACACAGAGACATAGCCCACTAAGCCACGAATCGCCCCCCCCCAAACAAAAGGGTTCGATGAGGGGCCCCATGACTGACCTGCCGCACCAGGGGCTGGTGGGGGGCCAGTGGGTCGAAGGGCAGGAAGGCGAGCAGCGCCGGGCCCTTGCTCAGCTCCTGCTCCAGGAGGCGGCTCTTGGCCCCATGGGGGCGGAGCCACTGCAGAACGCTCTCCCTGTTCTCGTACGCCCAGCCACAGATATTCTCCGACGTGAAGTTCCTCTCTGCCCGTGGGAAAATCTGCATGGGATCAGGCAAATAATTCAACCTGCAACCAATATGAGGGGGGGGGGATTCTTATTTAGACAAAGCACTAAAAAAGGCACCCTACCCCAGCCATAGAAGCGCTATCAATGTGATCCCCCCCTCGGTATCTTTTCTCAGATTTTTCATTAAGCCCGTCAGTGTTCTTGAGTCTTTAAAACAGAACCTGAAAGGCCTGCAGCCTTTGTCAGACGCTCCCTTGCATGCTGGGAGCACCACAGCACCCCCTGCGGATTCCACTACTCACAAGCGACGTGTTGAAGTGTCGGTGCATGTAGACCGTCCCGTCTTCCTGCACCGCGATCGCTTCCGCCACCGGCTTGCTTGTCACCACTGCGAAGCGCACCACTCCCTGGAAATCTGCACCATATCCAAAATGCATACGCTTCACTCTTCGGCACACCACAGTCGTCATTGTGATATCCTATCCACCTGCCCCAGCTGCCCGAACGGGTTGACTAGCACTGACTGCAGGGCAGGCTGATACACGCGTGTGATTGCACACAACAGGCGATTTAAAGACCCCAGTCTTTGGACTGAGGGAAGAAGTTGGACCACCTGGAGAAAGGCAACACGACACAGAGGCAACATGCAAACTCCGCAGACGGGAAGCAGCAACAGATCCCCAGCACAGGAGGGGTGAGACAACATTGCCACCTATTGAGCCACCAAGTCTTGTTCAAATGCAGGGATTCCTTTAAACAGAAGAGAAAAAAGCAGCCTTTTCTAAGAGCATATTCGAGAGGAATCTCCAAATGCATGCATACCTTTGTGATCAGATAAAACTGAAATATTTTTAAACTCAGAGCCAAACTTGGCACACCAACAGTGACATCATTAATATGTCAGGTTGATTTGTGAGGCTTAGTGTCTATCAAGCCTGGAGTCCTAGTTCTTTCCCATATATTATGCTGGATTCAAACAGAACACATCAAAAATCTACAAATGCTGACTGGCAACTGCAGACCCCAAAGCAGCGGTGCGTGTGTGAACTGGCAGAGATGGACGAATGAAAGGCAGAGCTTCAGGCAGAGACTATCAGAAAGTCATCAAACCGACAGCATGTCACTTTAATCCCTGCTTGGTACATTACCGTCATTTCAGAGGCGAACAAAAACCGCCAGAAGTAAAAATAAGCAATTCAAGAATAACAGCATGACAGGCTCTCTGTCAGAGAGTGAGAGTCGGTCTTCAGAGAGCAGCCTGCTGCAGAGAACCGGCATCAAACGGCATTTGTTCATCCTGACATATCTGACAGCATAATAAGATTATGATCAAATGAAAAACTTTTTTATAAAAAAAAAAGTCAAGATGTTTCATTCGAAACCAAAGTTGGTGTTGTTTTCACAACTCAAAATAACCCAGTTCAAGTTAACTCAGTATCAAACCATACTGTCAGTAAGATTAATTGATTCTCACACCTCTAACTAAACGTCGCTTAACCAAAGATTTCTAACACCAAAATCATAGGAGAATAATGCTCATGGTTTAATGCCAATCGTATACAAATACGACTTTACATATTTCATATTTTGACATGGATATTACTTTGCCAGTGTTTTTCCTAGATATTTGACTTACCTCTCTTCAAAGCCTGTAATGCTGACGTCAAGAATACGATGTATCCAGGAGGCTGTGGTGAAGCATTGAACTCAAAATAACCCACCACTCCTGGCTAAGAAAGGGGAAAAAAAGAAAAAAAAACAACCATAAATACAGTAAAATCCAGTTATAACGGACTTCAAGGGACCTGGCAAAACAGTCCGTTATATCAAGAGTCCGTTATATCCAGAGTTGCTGTTTGCCCAGAACACAACTACAGGACACCATCTACTCATGCCACACCTCAGCAGACACACTTGTGGTATAGATTATTATATTGTACATGTAGTAATCCAACTTTACCTGACCAGATGCGTGACTATTAATAATCCCGACTACGTATCTGCGCTGGATATCACCGGCACGCCACGCGCCTTGTAGGCGGAGCCTGCATGTCCGTTATAGCGAACAGAACTACAGCTAAAAGCGGCCCTGGGGACCAAATTGTTTGTCCATTATAAGCGAAATTCCGTTATATGCGAGTCCGCTATATCCGATGCTTTTTCTGCATGTTCGTAAAGGCGCACGGCTGGGACCGGCGGACCTCGTCCGTTATAGACGATATTCCGTTATAAGTGAGTCCACTATAACGGGATTTTACTGTATCATCAAACAATGATTTTCCTCTTCTGGGCTACAGCTGCACATTTTTTCAGAAGAGTGAGAAATTCTCTCACGCTCCCCTGAACTTACACCAACTGCATGATTTCTAATACTGTAATGAATGATGACCTCATCATCGGGGAATCAGAGATCAGGGTCAGCCAGTGTCCCTGGAGCATTTTGGAGGTTAAGGGCCTTCAAGGGACCAACAGTGATTACTCTGCTTCCCATGGGTTTCAAACCCACAACCTTCTGAACAGAGGCACAAATCTCTCACCATAACAATAAGATACCTTTTACTTCTTAACATAATTTATACCAGAATATGGTACTGCAATGACATTGCGACATTATACAAACACTTCTTGTAGAAGCACGTGCAAATAATTCATGCAAAAAAAACAATTTGCATATCAACACCAAAGCAACCACTATAACAAATTAAAGTTCCATTGGCAGCTGCCTCCAGATTAGCGCAGTGACAGCCAGCCCTGATGGAAAGAAGCTACCAAGCTACAATTGCTCTTCACCTCATGATAAGAGAGGAAGTCTTGCAACATTGCTCGTGAAGGCAGGTATGTCAGAGGGGTGATAACCCTCCGGATGAACTTCTCCATGTAGGCGGCCATGAAGGGTCCCTTGTACTCAATAGGCCCAAACCTGTAAGACAATTTACATACTGTAAACATATACACACTCACCGTCTATACAGACAGGAAAATCATTCAAAGTTGGAGTTTCCAGCCCTCAAACCAACAGTATTCCACTGGGATGGGAGTATCGTTGGCACCCGAACATTACAGAATCACCCTGCATTGAAAAATAAAATCTGCATTCAGAATAATTAATCCACAATCCACAAAAATATACGACTTGCCCCACATTTCTGTACACATTGCAAAGCCTCCCCACACCCATTCAGCAAATTATATGTTTAAGGACCCCCCCCACCCCCACACAACAAATCGCCAGCAAAATGGATCTGGGAAATTTCTGAACAATGCAAACCGGTCTAATGTTATCAAGCGGTTGGGGACCCCTAACTTTAAGGTATCAAAATTCCTGGGTCCAGGAGGAATGCATCATTCTGAACAGCATCTCTCCTCAGACAGATGTGCAGTCCCACCTTCGGTAAAACAGGTGTATCACTGGGTACTGATAGAAGCTCTGGTTCTTTCGGCATTTTCCCTGGTTCCACCAACAGTTAACAGCTATAAATAGGACCTGCACACAGCAAGACAGTGGGAAACTCATTCAACCCATATCCATGGAGCACGGTAAAAACTAAACACAGTAAAAAAAAAAAAGAAAAAAAGATACCGCAGCGAGCTCTGACACCAAGCACACATTTCAATTTGCATAAATTACAACCATGTCATGTTTTTTTTTCAATCCAAATTCAGCATTAAGCTCACAGTACACCTACCATAGAACCATACAAATGAGCGAGGTAATATTATTATAAACCAATAACATTCTGGTTGCTGCACAGAGACCCTCAGGGACAAGGTGAGGGAAAAAAACTATTTTTTTTTCCAATTCCATAAAAGCTATCATCTGAGAAGCTGCTTTCTTACTGTTAAAATGAAGACACACTAGGAGATGGTGAGATGGTGACATTAACCAGCCATTTGGTCCCGAGACATAAAGGAGGAGGATACCTCTTTGTAAAGCTTCCTGGCGACCTGCTGGACCTCTTCCCGAGCGGCGATGGAGTGCGCACACCAGGGGGCGTAGAAGAAGATTAGGGAGATCTCAGCCGCGCTCCGTAACCGGTCCACCTGGTCCAGCTGCCCCAGGAAAAGGTCTACCACCGGAGGATCGGGCGAGAAGAAGCGGCGGGGAGGCCGTGCAGGGGCAACCACATTCTTCGCACGGCTACTTAGAGGAACGGACCAATGTCCAAATTAATAAATAACACCAGCCTCCCCAAAAAACTGAAAAGATTACACAGTAATAAAATGTAGAGTACAACCATCCATTTGGAGTATTAGATATCAAAGATTTGTTTGCTTCAGCTGAGGAATAGTACACAGTGGAGTATAACATAAAATTCATTCATAAGTACAGCAAAACTAGAGGTAAGTTACATATTGACTGTGCCTTAAGGTATCTTGCCTTTAATTCCTCTAAACACCTTAATCTGATCAGTTACAGCTTGCGTATGTGTATTATGGACAATTTGGTACGAAATCTTAACATAATATAAGAAATGTCATATTAATGGCAGATAGATAAACCGTCCCAACTGCACAGCACCAAAGTTGGGAAAAGAGAATACAGGCGGTCATGCCCCTTCTTGTCAAAGTAGCACAGATATTAAGTCGATTATTTGACAGGAAAAAGCATATAATCTACAGATTTAGGATAGTTTCCAAACGCACACAGAAAATGTATCCATTTATTTATATTATATGAACTGCTTATATTTATAGAGGTAGAGAGCTGAGCCCGATCAACACCAATATCACTGGCACAGCCACGGTTACCTCACCAACTCTTGAAATATCCAGGCTAATGTGATATTTAGCAAACACTGGACGTTTATAGCAGCAGCAATAATAATAATATGCGATGCAGCTGAAAAATACATGCAGATGTTTTCCATCCTGGCTAACCGGAGTGCTAGCAGAAGTTTCACTAAAGCGAGTGTATTCCGCACATTTCATCCATATGCCAGCAAGCTGGGCAAGTTACGATTAAAAGGCATTAAGTCAGCAATCTACCTGATTTTTCAGCGGACCCCCTAGCTCGGTGCTTACCTGCAAGTGAATTTTATAGTGACAACAAAAAGGCAGCCCAGCACGATGGCTCCACAAAGAAGATCGGGTCTTCGAGCCATCTGATTCCCCAGCTGCCGAAGTGACACCCGCAACCGGCGCAGCATTACAGACGCCTAGCCCGTCCCTTCCATTTAAACACTCAGTTTGGCACAACACCTGCACACCAGCCCACAGAGGAGGGGAAACACGGTCGGCTGAACCAGTGACCAAAACCGTGCACTGCCTGACAGCGAGCAAACCCTCCTCCGCCACGTACTCCGCGCACTTCCGCTCCCGGCGCGGCGCGTTTGCTGAAGCGGAGGCGCCTGGGTGACGCGGCCGCGCCGGCCAATGGCGTGGAGCCGCGGAGCTGGTTAGGAAACTGTTAGGAAAAGTTAACTGTTCATTAGCTACTGTAATGCGACGTGTGAAATTCTCTACAAATCATGCCTACTTAATTGAGAAGCAGTCCTGGACCCTGTACGAAATACGAAAATGGCAATGTTCAAAAATCTGTTCAAAAGCAAAGGTTTCCATCAAGTGATTTTTAAATTATTGTTTGTATGTTATATGAATAAAGTTTAAACAGACGAGTCGACGCTTTACAGTATGCGATAATAACTGGGTAGAAGTATATTTGAAAGTAGCTTGCGGTACCCAAACTATGCTATAATTATGTCAATAAACATCCATTTATGCTTTTTAAGGACAAAAACATTTACATTTGATTGTGGTGGAGGTGTAATAATCAATTGACAGTATAGTTAAAATCAAAGTATAATAAAATGAAATTCTCAAATGAAGGTATTGCTGATAAAATGCATTACTGGTCAACATACAGCACTGTGCGAAAGGGTCAGGCACCGCGGTGCCGTAAAGGGGGTTTCGTCACATTTAATGAAATGCCATGTAGATATTTGCATCGCCTGTTAGAGCGGCACAGTGGTGCGGTGGGTTGCGCTGTCGCCACACACCGCCTTTGTGTGTGTGTGTGTGTGTGCGCGCGCGCGCGCGTTCGTGGCTTTTCGGCGGTCTTCGGATTCCTTCCATTGTGCAGAAACATGCAACTCAAATGCTATAAATAAAAAAAAATAAAAAAGCAAAACATCTTCCTTCTCTACGTTTCTTCTCGATTCCTCTTCGTTCTATATCTTGTCCGGAGATGCAGTCAGATGTCCTTTTTTCATTTGGCAACCTCCATGTGATGCTATTGGTCTGCAGCGGTACGTGTGACAGTACATGATTAACTAAAGAAAGAGACGCTAGGATAAAACACAATAAACAAACAAGCAAATGAATAAATAAATTAACTAAATATTGCATATCATGTAAAAGTGTGACAAAAGTTCCTTAGTAAAAATTATATATTTTTTCCATTGGCAAATACACTTCAGTAGATCTGAAAAATACATTACTAGCAGAAATATTCATAAACCTTTAAATTCTTCTTTGAATAAATAAGGTAACAATGCAGCTTAATTGTTCCTGACCAACTTTAAATGATGGATACCGAGTCAAGCAACTTTCAGACAGATTTAATTAATTTGATTACTATCCATTCAAATTATTAAATTAGATGGAAAACAATTGGAATTGTTTCAAATCAACATCTTTTGACTAAAGTAATCTCCCGTTCATGCATTATTATTAATATATCTCAATTCCATGGATGTGTGTGTATATATACATGCATACATACATACACACACATATTAGGATTGGCTGTGATTACAGAGCGTGTGGAGGAATCTCTACCCAAAGCCCCCAAATCACTGGTACCGCCTCCGTTTTGAGGGCTGTACTCATGATACCTTTATAAAAGTCATGCAGGAGGTTTTTGTATATCCTCGGTGCACGAAAGGCTTGAACAGGTTAGAAATCCATCCGTGGTGCATATCTTTGGGAAAGCCATGTCTGTCCTTTCTCTCCTATTCCTGTTGCTGTCTGGTAAGTATTTACTAATGTTCTAGCACTAAATCAAAGTGTATAAAGCTGTATAAATGTCCGCGTCTGTACCACGTAATGTATTGCTAATAAGATCATCCTTCCGTGCATATGATCATTAATCTTGTAGGTACTTCACCAGTGCCTTTACGTCCCAAGTAAAATTGAATTGGTTCGCCTAAGATTTGCCATAAACCTCTATCAAGAAAACATACGTTGTGCACACATCTCTTTGCGATTAGATTTTGTAAACGTCAGACATCTTATTGATGTACCTTTTTGTTATTTCATTTTACGTAAAAGCTAAAATGGATGTTTTACAGTATTTATAAAATTACAAATAAAAAGAAGTTCCAGAAAATCTATAGTATTTCCTGTTATCGTAATATTGTAAATCTGTAATATTTAATTGTTATTATTTGCACCGATTGCAGTGTGCACCGCGTCCTTCACTCCCGCGAGGTCCGGGCGGAGTAGAAGAGGTCTGCTGGAACTTGATGGAATCGTTAAGTGTGGTACTGGGAGATCTTCTCTGGCCTACATCATGTACGGCTGCTACTGTGGCCTGGGGGGGCAGGGCTGGCCCAGGGACAAAGCAGACTGGTAAGACAGACACACAACCCGAGTAACACGTCTGTATTTCATATGGGTGACCATAATGCTATATTGGCCTTAAAAGGTATATGGGGTCTGTGACGTTAGGCGTGGCCTCACACTGGCGACTTTGCCTTTTTAATTAAGTCCTGGGCAAAGAAAGGTGCAAGCCTTTGAAGTTTGCTTGCAGCTTCAATGTGTAATTAATGATTATTCTTTATATACTAGACACCAAAACACGTCACAACCATATACGTCACAAACACCGCTTTCTGACAAAATGTTCTATTGAGCACAATAACTCCAGCAAGCCAATTAACCGTGCACAATCATATAATATCAGCAATGTGCTTCGGAGGAATAAACACTGGAATAGTTAAGCATCTGTGTGGCATAAATATGCAGCTGCCTAGCTAGTATAAAGTTAAGCTGAGCCTCTCATTTCACAAATGAGCTGGTGCAACATAGCTTCCTAAATGGATGGTTTGTTTGATAATATTATATTTCTGTGCTGGAGTGATTGTAGACTAAGATGGGAGTTTCACTGAGACAGATTCAACAACCGTATGTTTACCTTTCATGCATCCATTAAAAATGCTCTCAAGCAATTCGTAAATATTTATTTAGTTTTCTCCGAGGGTTGAGATGACTATTCTATTCTGAAGTAATCATCAAGTTTAGGGCATTCATTCAGTACAATTATTCAGAGTTTTATATATAAAATTAAATTATTAATGCTGTTTAAATTCAGGGCTGACAGCCACAGAAGCATAATAAAAATTAAAATGAAACTGAGCTGGTAAGAATTTTCATTTTAAACACCGGATGAGATCATTATATCATAAAGTCTTTCGTATGTATACCTTGTTCCCCAAAGGTGCTGCCACAGACACGACTGCTGTTACGAGAAGGCAGAGAGGGCCGGATGCCAGGCCCAGGCACAGAAGTCCCCCTGGGCTTGCGAGACCATCTTCTGCGGTACCTACTCTATGTTCCCGACGTGCAGATGTCAGTGCAATGTGGAAAAATCCCAGATTAATGAGGGACACAAAGAATGCTGCATGCAAATGTAGTATGGAATGCTAGTTACAATTTAACCCACTGTTTAAAATATACCAGTTGGTTTTGTTGCTTTAACAAAAGGTACCAACTGGGGTTGGACTGGGATTCAAAATTAGCCGTGGACTTTGGGGCTCCCCACTGCCCCTGGTCAATTTTCCCGGGCTTGGGGGGGGGGACAACTTTCAAGGGCACAGACACCAGTGGGGGTACATGAATGCGGATAATGGTAGCTTTGGTTTGGAGAAGGTGTGGCATTTGGTGGAAATTTTCAGGGATGGGGTCGTGTCCTTGTGCAGCCCTGCATAGGTGCCCGTATATGCTGAGGTTTTACAAAGGTTAACATAAAACCTGTTTCCGCTCATTCTAGAATCGCTGAAGGACAAGTGTGAGAAGATGCTGTGCAGGTGTGACAGGGACGTAGCTAAATGCTTGAGAAAAGCACCCTTCATTCCCGACTATGCCGTGTGGCCCGACTTCCTCTGTGGATTTGAGTACCCAACGTGCAATTATTACTGAACCAATGAACGCATTTCATGTTGCAGTATCGCTGCCTCGCTTGATACTTATTAAAAGCGATATTTGGAGATAAACACACACAGAAACCACAAGATGGGGTGTGAAAAGCAGCAACTTTGTCATCTTTGTTTTCAATCTATTGCAAACGCCCAGTGGAGATTCCAGTTCTTCCAGAATTTTTGGTCACAAACTGGTTTTGACCAAATAAATGATGCAGAACATTCTATATCAAGTACCATCTTTCAAACAGGGTGTCATATTTTCAGACTGTTTTTTTTTTTTTACTTGCAATTAAAACCAAAGTTTGTCTTTTTTCAGTTATGATTTGTACAAGGCAAGCTATATTTGCTGTCTGGACTGTCATACTTCAGACTGAAATAGGGACCGATTTAGACACATTTGGTTTTAGCCGCTGATTCACTTCCAGGTTGTAGTTCCTGGAGGCCTCACATGACGCGTGTCTCTCCTCTAGCAGGTCTATCATTCTTGGCTGAGTTGGTCTTAAAATACTTAACATACTTTTTGTGGCCTTGTACCATTGATTTTGTCAAACTGCTTTTTATGAGTTTCTGTAAAACAAGCAACCAATCAGAGAGTTAATGTCTATGTCATATCAAAATATGACCAATGCTTATGCTACATGACAGAACAAAGACAAGCCACTATATCTTTAAAAATACCATATTGCAGTAACTTTTGCTATCCCGTAAGAGCCAAGTAAAGCTCAATAAAAACTACAGATTTTTAATTAAAAAGTACATTTTTTTTTTTTTTTTTTAGAAAAAATGTTTTTATTAATTTTTTTTTTTTTTTTTTTTAGAAAAAATGTTTTTATTAATGATTCCTAAACCTTATTCATTTTTGTCCAGGAGCATGAATAAGTCACAGTTATAACAAAGTGCAAGAATAATTAAAAGGTCAAAAAGAAAAAAAAATAATAAAATTAATACAGATTTAAATCAGGCTGAGGACCAATCACCCCCCCAAACAATTTCAGCTTTTGGTAAACATATTCCATGCCTTTGAAAATAAAACTTACTGTAAAAAAGAAGCCACCTGCAACAAACTAAATACAGCATATAAACCATGGGAGGAAAACTCAGAATGGAAGCATGGAATAATCGGCACAGTCTAGACTTAGTATGTCTCTCTTATTGCGATAAAACTTTTGCATAAAAGCTGAGAGAACAATTGTCTCGCTTTCGGTGTTCATCGTAACGGCACAAGCTGTGAAATAGAATGCACACTCCCGGTCTGCTCATGACGTAACCCCCTTTCAAAATAAGTATGGCTCCTTTGATCCCATAGAAAAAAAGAAAAGAAAAGCTTGTTGCCAGTCAAAGTATATGAATATCACAATAACGAGTGATGTTTACAATTTCGGTGGACTTCATACTACCCTGACTTTGTCAGCATCACGGTGGGCGACGTCCGACTCTGCGTTTTGTTTGTCAAAGGCGCCCTGCCGATAAATACCCTTTAGCTAGTTTCACATACCTGTTTTCGGCTAACGTGGTACTGCCCGAAAGGCCGAGTCCATAATGTGTAAGCTGATCTTGGCGGGTGGCGCTGTAGGACAGCCCTAGCCTTTGCGGGTATTATTTTTATGGCACTTGTGTTTCTGGACGGAGGACCTGCTGGACAACCTGCTCAATATTTATGATGGGGTTGAAGTACAAGGCCCAGTAGAACAAGCAGTTACAGGCAAACTGAGGAATGACTGGCCAGAAGATGGCGACACTGAACCCTTTTATGGACACCTTCCAGAAATGGCTCCACATTTTCTGAGGGAGAATCCTGGAAGAGAAAGTAGTAATCTGTCAAAAGCTGTTGTTTAAGTTTCAATTAAACAATTACAAGGACTCGGAGTAAACATACACTAGTGGCCAAAATTGTGGAAACACTTCCAATTTTTAGACATTTCAGGACTTTATTCTAGTTACTCCAGTTGCTTAATCATCCAATGAATGAAATTGGTAACATTGTTGGATTGTTTGTAAACATCACCGTGAATATTTATGTAGTCATTTTTTAAATGTAATGCCAAACACTTTGCCCACAATACTGGCCACTAGTGTAAAACGTTCTAACACGTGTTATGTAAAAGTTATCGAAATTTCTACTACATTTTAAATATAAAATAAAACCAAGAAAATTCGCCTCCAGCGATCCCTGCTGGGCCCCAAGAAGTACCTCAGCTCCGACCGGATCCAGAGCCTATACAGAGCACAGCCCTCCAGCACCGACAGAAGCATGGAGTTGATGATGATGAACCGCGACGTCCAGTAGTGAACACCTAGCCAGTCCCAGGCAAACTCCGCTATCAACTGGTAGGGCAGCAAGGAGTATTTCACCAGGAATTCAGTCCACTGCTTCCAGCTAGGGTTCTCGTTCTGCAGAAACAGAAAACAAAGAAAAATACTAGACTGACAAATATTACAGCTAGCTCCTAATAAATAATCCATGTACACACCTACGCAATTGTATTACATGTTTTCATTTCCCAATAGCCTGCCTGCAGGGCATTATTCAAGAAGCAACTTTTACCCCAGTTGAGTTATTCTCCGTGAACCAATCGAAAGATCCCCTTACGAAAGTTCTAGACATGAAAACATCCTCTTGCGGTTCCTCACTCTGCTCCGGGCAGCAGGTATGTATGAAAGGCAGGAAGGTGTCAGTGTAATCGAACAGGTAGAGGTACAGGATGGTGAGCCTTGGAGAGCTCTTCAGGGCATACAGCAGGAACAGGGATTTCCCAGCATTGACTGCCTTAAACGAGAAAACCGCAGACAGAGCTGTTAGGGAGATGCTTGTGTCACTCTCGTTAATCAAGGCCTACATTATATGTCACATAAATATCAGATGACTACAGAGCAGTTCAAGCAGCACTTCTATGTATGTATGTATTCATAACGGTGCTTGTTCGATTTGTTATGGAATTAAGACCAGGATATAGTAAATACGCCGGTAAATAGGCCAGTGATGTGGTTTCCAGCACCGCCGACAGCCCAAGCTGACCTTGTATTCCCAGAGATTCTGCGGCGGCTTCACACCCAGGGATTTGACACGCTCCAGCTCGGCCAGTACAGCCTTACGGTGCGTCTGGTTCTCGATCCCATATGGATTCTTGGAAAGCTCCTCATCTCCAAGCATGATCAGGAGTCTATCAAGCAGCAAAGCCACGCAAGTCTATTTGCGCTGGGCAGCTCACACCATCGGCTGAAACACAATAATAATTTGAGGGCAGCTGCTCGGAATTAGTCAAGAATGACATACCTGCCGTTGACTTGCTCTCTTAGAAAGTGATCCTTGTACAGCGAAGCCCAAGGTCCCAGGTTTTCCAACCAGAGGATGACCTCCTCAGAGGTCCATTTCGTCACAGGCTTGTGGACCAAGAGATCGTGTTCGGCATCTCGGCTGCTCCAGTGGTACACCAGCAGCATGACCTACCAGCGGGAAGCGAGGGACCGCGGGTGAAATACGTGCCGACCAGAATCTGAAACGGACTTCGATGAAGAGCCGATGAGGTCAACACGAGCAAAAAAATGGAAACCACGGAGGAGGTCCTAAAAAACGCTTACAGCCACACAAGTGAGGGCGGTGAGGACCCCAGAGAAGAAGTCATTTCCACCAGCGCCTCTCCTTGGGGTGTTCAGCACAGGCCCTCTGGAGACCTGCTCATCTCCATACCTCTGGAAGGCAAGCAGGCTACGCACAATTTTGGGGTTATTCTGGATCTCTTCTCGTCTTTTCTGAACTACTCTGGAAAATAACTTCTCAGTTGCATCCCTGTGAGACAAGAGAACAAATTCAAAACTTTTACACTGGAGCAGACAACTGAAGAGCAAAATTTCCAAAACCCACTGAAAACATCTTTTGCTTCTCAGGTGAGACCGCCAATCACCGACAGTCAGGCTTCCTCATATGTTGCGCTACTGGGAACCAAAACTCACTCAGTTTTCATCCAATTCAACAAAGAACTTTTGTTACATTGTCTAAACTAAGTCCACAGCATTTCTCTTGAAAATGTATGTTGTGGACTGAGTTTTGGAAATTTGTTCTTCAATCCTTAAAATCAAAATACAGCTACATTTAAATAAAATAATAAAAGGAATTAGAACTAAAATGCTGTGACAAAATCATCCCCCCTGACAACTCAAATAGCCCTGAAATCATTCTACTGGGGGGGTCACTACATCTTTGCTGACCACTTTTTTATCTGAAACAAGACTGCACTTTCAAATGCTGAGAAACTCTCCTGTGTGGCACCAAGCAGGTACCAGTACTGTTAACTGTCATCTAGAATTTGTTCATTACAGGGAACCTACACTCTCAACTTTATGTAAGGACAGTCTTAAAAATGTCAGCGAAGGGCTACCAAGCTATTTTAAAACTACGAAAACTAAAGTTTACTAAATCATTACAATAAGTTACGAAAATGCATTGGGGTGTTCAAAAACAGTTTCAACTCATGGCAGATTTTTCTAACCCTTAAGTACATTGATAAATACAATTGTATTGCATTCCCACCTCAGTAAAATGTTGACTCTGGGAAATCCCTCCCACCTCTCCCTACACTCTGGACACTCGTTTTTCCTAGAGGATTCCCACCAGAGGGCCAGGCAGTGCCGACAGAAACTGTGCCCGCAGTTAAGGGTTGTGGGGTTGATCAAGATGTCGTAACAGCAGTGACAGGAAAACTCATGCTCAGTTATCTCGCTGCTTGAAGCCAGGGGACAAGGGTCAGAATGATCCAAGGGGTCAGTATGGACACCGCCCTTCATTGGAGAACTCGTCATTCGTCCCTTAGTAGACAAAATCCTCACTGATTAACTCTGTGAAGAGAAAATAAAGAGAAAGCTATTTGTGATGCAGAGGATCCAAAGAGTGATACAATATTGTGGGAATTAGATTATTATGGGAGAGCTTGTTATATTATATAGTAATATGCATACATTTCCGCAAGCCTCTAACAGCTGAAAGTATCAAGTGTCACGTGAAGCATCTAAATCGGTTATAATGACTTGCAAAAATCTAAAACGGAAGCAACAAGCCATTGCGCGCTCGGTTTCACGGACGCCGAGCCGCGAAGTTTACGGGCGCCCGGTTCCGGTCCGGGCTCGTCGTAATAAAGCAGGATCGGCGGCCCGCTTCCCGGCGACGGCTCCCAAACCCAGGAGCTACTGCGAACGGCACTTGGCGGCCATTGATCGGTCCAAAGACGGCTTGCCACACGGGCAAACAATCTGCGATCAAACCTGGATCCAGGAAAGGCACCCGGATGTCAGGAAAATGTGTATTTTAATACGAGTCAAGATGAACGCGGAAAATGCCTACAATACCGATTGATCAATAAATAATAAAAAGCAAATACAGTTATTTACTAGAAGATCAGGCAATCGACTTCGGATATATGAAGAACATAAATAAAACACCGACAGACACTAATAACCAGTCCGCAGCAGCACAGTAATGCGTCCACGTTGCCTGCCGATCTGCGCACCTTAACTACCCGCACGGCCCCCGGTAATTAACCACCTAACACCATATTTGCTCCTTTCTTTTCCTACCTTCGATATTTTCCTCCCCTATGTGGCCGACTGCATTGTAAACACAGCGCAGCCCGCCGATGTCGGACCTAGAGAGCCAGTTAGATGGCGAGCCGGCCACCCCGCTGGACCAGAGCGCCCTAATGCCCGTCCTACGCCCGCCGACCTCTACCTGCCTGGCTGCGCAGGTCGCACCGCCGGCCGGGGAGTCGCGCTCGCCGCCGCCGCCACCGCGGTTATCCTCCTCGGCCTGGAAGCGCATTGAGCCTACAGGCTCTGGATCATTTCCCCCAGTGTAGTGCATGATAGGCTTTACGTGGTTTACGGTGGTCGAAACTGATCTCGAATCAGTGCTTAGCCCCCCCCCCCAAAAAGAAAAAAACATTTAAGTGTTACACTTTATTGATTTTGTGTATTTTGCACACGTTTTATTATTTACATAATTATAGGTAGTGGGTGGGAATTATTTAAGTTTAATCTTTTTTGTTTTTCTGCACCAGCGTCAGGAACCCTGGAGTAGCACGCTTTCAGACTCTGAATATCAACCTAAAAGGAACTACATAAAATGCGTTGGGGCAATTTGCAATCCCTACAGACTACTTACAAGATAATACAACTATACTTACATGTAAATGTGTGTGCAAAATTGTGTAGAAAATCTCACTCGATCCAGCCAGATGACCAAAGAATTGGCATCACAGTTTATGCAAACAATTAACTAATTATCATAAAACGTCAAATAGGCTTAACTTAATTTATCCATTTCTGAAACTTCATATAAGTAACTGATGACACTGGTGCATCCTCCGGTCCTGAGTAAAGACGGCAGCGTTTTTGATATTTATCAGACATTAACACACACACCTTAACCTTAAATTAACCGTAATCGCAACCCTAATGTCAAACCCTTACCCTATGCCGAACTCAAATAGCAACTTCAACCACAGTACGGGCAGCAGAACAGGATAGCTCGTGCATCTTGTCTTCTGCAGGGGGATTCACCCCTTTTTTTCGGGGGAAAAACCTGTGGGAAACAGTTTTTCTCTAATCTAATACTAACCCTACGCCTAGGGTGGCATACATGTTCCCCCCACCCCCGTATATATAATGAAAAATTCCGCTGTAAGTTAATATTAAAATATGAGTATATAATGAAAAACTCCGCTGTAGGTTAATATTAAAATATGACTAAATGATTACTAACTTAGGGGTTGGCAATCTTTGCGCTAACCCTTTATGTCAAGAAAAAATTAAAATTCTTGGCAGCATATTTACAACCACCAGAGGGTACTAGTGGATTTTCAATATATTTTCATTCATATCACTATGCCTGGTGTTTTTCAGATTTAATAAAAAAAATAAAATAAAATACTACTTACTTAGTTTGACAATCATTTTTATACTTTTATAGTACTGTACACAATATTAATTACTGATAAATGACAATGATTAATTACTGATAAATATGATAGTGATCTTTGCATGATTGTACTAGTCTGTAAGTACTGTATATTTACACATGTTCTGTTAGTGATTTTGGACATTTCAGTGCTTACGTATTTCAGTAATCGCAAAATGGACATTATCGCTTATCAAACAGCTGCAGACCATATTCAAGGGCCAACTATGTTTGTCCTGTAGAGTTAAGAATTTCTTTGCTATTCATATTAAACATTCTTTTGGTCAAAACACTTATTGCCAAAATAGTATCCTGAAAGGAATGCAAAAGCTAAACTATGAATAAACAACACTTCCTGTTACAGGACTATAATCTGACTTCACTTGTTAATAAATTATAGCTTCTGAAAACATGGCTTATCCATTGCATCTTATTTAGGCTTTTGTGGTACCTCTCTGGCGGAGCACAAAGGCTGAACACATATGCAGCATATTGATTGTATGATTTTTTTCAGTCAGGCACAAGCTTTGACCACACAACTCTTTGAGCCCCTGCCAGAAAGTAAAAGACAGTTTTGTCTCTCACAAGAAACAGCTCACATGGCATTGCAAGGTTAATTGCAACATCTATAAACAAACAAACTACCAAGTTAAAAGCCTGCACACAAAAAGCTCAGCGTTTGTTAAATGTGGCGTCTTGTTTGTGTGACAGACTGGAGTTGCTTGTTTTATTTTTCACAAAGCAGACATTCTGGCATCCTTAGATTGGAAATATGTCAGTAGTAGTCAAGATGCTTAATAACAATGTCAATAATGTGTGTATGTTGAGCAGAGAATGTCCTAGATATTTTTATGTTGGTCCTGAACAAACTTTGAAATATGAAGAAAATAATTGTCTGCTTTAGATATTCATGTCGGAGTTCCTTCTGGTAGGAATAAGGAATTCCTTCCTCAAGGAAACTGAATTTATTATCTTAAGAAAGGTATGTTTATCTTTTAAAAGATTTTAGATACCAGGTGCTCTAACTGGATTGTACGATGAACACATTTCAGCTGTAATTCTGGTCCTTGTGAAATAGAAATGGAAAAGATACTGTTGTCACATATTGTTGACTACAGCAATAACTGTCTGTCCACAGCACAAGTCACATTCACACAACACATCATCTTCCCCAGAATGGATGACATTTCAATGCTCTCACGGATTCACAGCTCAGTGTTCAGCATTCATCCCTGCCCAGTAGTTTTTTGAAGATTAATTTCTAGAAATGCCAGTGTTGACAGCTCTGCATTTGTGCCGCTGAGTCACACATCATACCTGTTAAAATATCAACATGGCATTCCTCTTATAAAAACATTCTTTTCAGTGGTACTTTCTAGATTCTTTATCTTTAGTGTTGTTAGCTTGACATCTTAAAGTTTCTCCAGGACCTGCTTTCGGTAACCCTCACATACAGATATAATCCTGCCCTCACAATAACACAATAACAGGCATGGTGGAAGAAATCAAATCAAAATCTAATCATTTTATTGTTACATCACTTGACGCTTGGTAGAGTACAGGAGAGCACTACTAAGTCTCAAAACACCAGCAGAAAAATTGTGCAGATATTAGAATTTTACAAAAATGGCAAATGTGCAACATAGTAATAATAAATTGTGTGCAAGTTAAAACATATAAATATAATGAACAGTAATACAGCAATTACTAATGTTACATGCATTGAGAGTTACATATACGCTGTGGATGAAAGACATGTTAGCTAGTGGTAGGCCGAGTAATGTCGAGGGGCTGGGCTTAGAGGAGCTTTTTGGTTTCCATGGTGATTGATCACCAGTCACAAGCCAGCAGGAGCCTCAGGTAATGAACTCCAGCTGACTTGGTTATGTCTCTGTCCTTGTTAGGCTCTACATATGGTTTACTGGATGGGAGCAGAATCAGAATGTGTGTGTGTGTGCGTGTGTGTGTGTGGGTTTGCATAGATCGCATTCGAGGACAAAATTTTCCCCAAAGTGAAGTAAAACCTGACATTTCCCTACTTTTGGGGACATCTTTTGAGGTCCCCATTTGGATAACCTCAGTTATATAAAAATCTGTGAATGCAATCAAAAAAGTAAAAATGCCAAAAGTCTTGTATTTGGGTTGGTCACTTATGGTTGAGGTTAGGGATGGGTAAAGGTTAAAGGTGTCATGATTGGGATTAGGGTTTTTCCCATAGAAATGAATGGACGGTCCCCATTTAGATAGGTACACCAACTTGTGTGTGTGTGCATGTGTGTTTGTGTGCATCCAAAGGAAACACCTAACAACATAGTCACATTGGGATCCTAACAGGGAGTAAGACCACTCTCTCCCTTAAGAGCAGCATCAGAGCTCATTAAAATGCTGACACACAACTGCTGATGTACATCTAGTGCGATATCGGGCCAACAAGAAAGGCCTCCAGTCTTCTGATGGGTGAAGGAGATGTAAATCTGCTACTCCAGTACTAACGATAAATGTTCATTCATGCTCAGGTCTGGTGATTGGGGACATGTTTGACGGCAACCTGGTGTTCACGAAACCACCCTTGAACTTGTTCAGCAGTGTGTATGGGGGAATCATCCATTTGGATTATGGGAACAGGAAAAAGTGTTTGCTCTAATAAGACTGGGTGACCTACCAGTGTTTGACATTTCAGGTCCAGAAACTACAAATCCAGACCAAAATTTTGTTTCTGCCAACCTGCTGAGTCCTCTGTGACTGTGACTCCTTATGCTGAACTGGTTGGTAGAAACAAAATCCTGGTCTGGATTTGTAGTTTCTGGACCTGAAATGCACAACAGTGTGACCTGCACAAGATGGCTGCCCATACCAACAGACATTGAGAATTGAAGACCAGATGTAGGAAAAAAAAAAAAAAAACATAAAAGAAATGCTAGTTCATTGTGGTAATATCAAGGGCGAACTATTCTGTTAAGTTTCCGCTAGCCTGAGAGCTTTGACTTGCCACCATTGTTCCTCTTTGTTAATGTTCTTTCATGTTTGCCATTTGCTGCACTGTTTTTTTGAGACTTTTCCAACTGAGATGTCAAATCATTTTGCAGTTTCTGGGACCTGAAGTTCAGGTTCTGACTCTTGGAACTTTGCTATTGGCCTCATGGTGCTTTGAAAACCTGCACATCAAAGTGCAGACTGTCAGACTTATTTTATATCCCTGACCTTTGCCTTAATGATTCTCCCGTGAAGCTGTTCTTATGATTGTGATTTGGCCACATCAAAGTTTCAGTCCTTTTTAATGCATTGATTCATTTATTTTGTTCATCGGTCGTGTATATATGCTAAGTAAGCACACAACCTGCAACATAATCGCATATGAAACAGTGAAAGGGTTTAACTAATTACTGGATTTTCTGGGTGCAGTGTGTGCTGTGATATTTTGATTTGGTGCTACTGATTCTTTTAAAACAGGTAAATAAAATGAACGCATTACACCAGTATTTTTATTGCAGCCTCTGATAAAAGTAGACAGCATCTGCTAGACCAAACCGTGCTTCCCCCTGCTGAGTGATTCCAGCTTCTCGTGGGGAAATCCAAGGTCCTCCCAGATGAGGTGTAATATCCCTCCAAAATGGGATTTCAGCTTGGCAAGATGTGCTGAGAATCCAGTAGCAGATCCACCTCAGCTGGCTCTTCTCAATGCACAGAAACACTGTCCTGGGCTGAAAAATACATGGAGATACAGTGAGCTCAGGTTTCTACTGCAGAAACCTCCATCCATCTTCTAACAGCTTATCAAATACAGAAGCGTGGGAGGAGTTCTGGAGCCTGTCCCAGGCAGCATAAGGCACAAGGCAGGGGAAGGGGAAGACCCGGATGGGATTCCAGTGCAGAGCAGAGGCGAACATGCACACACCCGCAGACAATCACAGACCACAGACAGTGCAGAGACATTCATTCTTAATCCGCTATTGTAGCGCATATTGTGTTGTATAAATACGAAACATTCATCAGTTCACATAGTTCAGGCGAGACTTGACTTGAAAATGTCAAATTGTGCCTTGATGATACTGGTAAGTGTGGGACGTTCTACAGAAAACTTCCAGAATGCTCTGGTAAACTTGGAGCTGAAAGCTGCAGTTATACTGAGTGTCCAGTAGACTGTGTCAGACACACATTTTAAACGGACCTTTCTCACTCCTCAAAGGAGAACAAAATCATAAAGTTTCGGCAAATTTATATCTCATCCCGCGTTTTGGATCTCTGCTGCAGTTGTTGGTACTATTCTTTTATGTGACACAGAGAAAAGCTTGTCCTGTTCAGTGTGTTATAAACGTATCGCCCCTACTCTTTCACATTTTTGCCTATGCTGTGTGGTACCTCGGGTCAAACACAAGGCCTAGAATCGGAGCTGACAGGAACATCTCTGCTATTCTACTGATATAATAAAAATAAAGGATCTTTACTCTTTTTTAATGTTTACTGGTCTGACAACCCATCTTAGAACAATCTATAATTGTTCTGTTCCATTTATAAATGATTCCACAGTGATACTGAAAGGTATAGATCCCCTGTTCCTAAATATACAGAGATAGGATATTGTTTTTTTCAATTAATACATACAGTAGTCTCCCATCATCCACATCCTCATCTACATGTAAACAGTTGAATCTTCATTGTGAATCGCACAAAGTGGTTGACTTTTTCGTTCCTTCGGAGGGACACTTCTCCCTGAGCAGAAGATGGGTGCTCGACACACAGTTTGGCCTAGATTAGCTTAGACTTTGCGTCAGAGTGCACAGCGAGGTATGCGGCTTGCGTCTGGCTCCTTTACATGGCTGGTCATGTGAAACACCTCGCAGACTGTGGCAGGTCCGGCGAATTGGCCTGAATTGGGTTTCAGGCTGAGTAAGAAGGCTGGCCAATGGCAGGAGCTGAGGGGCGGGACTTGGATCTGGGGCATGCTCCAGAAACACATGCTCGATTGTGTCCAGAGATGGCTGGGTAATGGACGAGTTATGAAAGTCATATGCTCTGGGTGTCACAAGGCTGGACCCTTTTTAGCTCCCATTTTCATGTTTACTTGTTTACTTCCTTTGACTTGTTGCCCCTTAAAGCTAAATACAGGCGACAAGCAATTTTTCATCCACCCTGATGATCAATCCATAGTTAAACCCATGTGTGGACCTTCACAAGTATTATTTGCCCTTAGGCTATTTTTTTATAATTATAACATTTTTTTCCACTGTTATTCTGTGTTGGATAATGGTTATGGAAAATGGATGGATGGATAATTTTCTTCCAAATCTGTATTTTGATCAATATGATAATGATTGGAGTTTCTATATCATGTCACTGTTACAGTGTCACCACCTGCTTTTTCTGTGGCTCACAAACTGCTTCACTTGGCAGCTAGCTATTTCCTAAGGTCAAAAGTATAATATGTAACCGGATCATTTTCACCTCACTTCAATGAACATGAAGCTTAGACAAAGGTTTGTAAGACAACATCTACGTGTCTCAGTGTGTGTATCAAAGTGGAGTTGGGCTTAGTGTGGCTAGTCAGAGGATTACACTTATGGTAAAGCTGTAAGCAAAGTAAAATACATCAGCGCATAAAACCAAAGAATGACTGAAGATAAATAACAGAAATGCAGATTTAGAGGTCTGAGGAACATGATCTGTACTGTGAAAGCACTTGACGCTCAGCTGGCTAGGATGCTGGGCTAGTGATTGAAAGGTTGTTGATTCAAATCTCAGGCCTGGCGGAGTGATTTTGCGGTTGGGCCCTTGAGCAGGGCCCGTAACCCCACTGGCCCCAGAGACTGACCTACCCTGCTTACTCAGTTGTACATTGATTTGGACAAACGCATCTTCTATATAAATAAATGCAAAGAGCCTACAGATGTTTACAGTCCTCTTCTTTGAAAGAATGTTATGTAACCAAGCTGTTAACCTTTCATGATACTCAGTATAGCTAGAGGTACTAGGCTGGTTATCTGGTCATACACAGTAAACTCCCGTAAGAACGGTCACAGGATGTACGCCTGACTGCTGGAGAAGTGTGTGGTGGTGAAATGTTCAATAATGTTTATTTGCAAAGAATAAACTGTGAAATATTATTGTGGATTAACTAGAACACAGAAATAGGGCAGGACCAAGTCGGCTGCCTTTAGCAGAGACGCTTACTAGCACTTTACAGGAAGAGTGCAGCACAACAGCACTGGATTGCTACCAGAAAGCAGTAGAAAGTGCCCATAGCACATTGATGCTGTCATTAAGGTCTAAAGTGGGGCGGAATGCAAAACATCGCGTCCCGTGATTTAGCTGGACGCTGTACAAAAACAGGAACCACATAGTCGCTGTAACTGAAAAAACCTGCATGCTGGTTCTTTAAAAAATATATTAAGAAATATGAATATAAAGGATAAAATTAGGAAAGATACATCTATAAGCAGCCAGTGACATCTGAATGTTTTTGTAGCAAAAAGTGTAATCAGCATTGGGGCAAAAATCCATCCAGATTTACAAAATTGTTGATAAATTATTATAAATCAATATCTTAATCATTGAAATCTACCTCTTTCAGTCTGTCTGTCATCTGCATGTAGATCCACTTCACTCTGTCATTGATTTTAATAACTCAGCTGTAGCAGTGACTGTATGCAGAGTGAAAGACACATAGTTTCATATTTCATCCATTAAGCTGGATAATATTCTAAAGTAATGAATGTTAAGAACATTGCTTGGGGCCTTTCTTGGGACATGAATCTGCACGAGTTGAGCTCAACATCCCCCCTATTAGCTCCAGGGGTATTAAGCAGCCTTACCTATAATAACTTCCCATGCAACTTGACTGTGCATTTTGTTTGAACATGGGCTGTCGTGTTCCTGGGCATGAAGCAGAGTGCTGCTTTGGGTATGAAGACAAGATATGATAAAATTATATAACACCTGTAGGCAATTTTTCTTAGTCCAATAGTAAGTATTGAAGATAACAGAAGTAAAATAATAATCTATGGTTCAGCATTTTTCCCAACACTGACGATTCTCCACCAGGATTCCTCACCAGGTCATCGGAATGGTTGCCTCTTGCTCTGGCTGAAACCCCGTGAAATGAACCAGGCATTGCGAGGGTGGCAGTTATCTGGCAGCTCCAGTTGGCATAGGTCTCTCCCCCCTGCCGTCACTAACCTCACAGCCCGTAAGGAGAAATCAGGCCCCTTCCTGCCAAAGCCTGCTTTTGATGCCATTCGCTTGCATCACCGTGCCGACAGTCTCCTGACCTGATTGGACATCAGCCGGACTGGTAATCTTTGAGAAATGATTCATGCCCATTTCCTTTGGATACAAGGCCTCATGGCTGTCATTCTCATATACCATTTTTCTTCATATCTGAACGCAGTTTATAATGATTATATATCTCAGAGCCTAACGTGGGGAACAGATAACTGTGTCTTGCGGTAGAAAGATTATTTTCTCTGACATTGTTTTTCTGTGGATACGCTGAGCATAAATGTGATTCACTCAATATCAGCTTCTAGTCTATAGATTTTATACACTTTTCTATCAACTGTCCAGGTTCATATTGTTTAAAACCCTTCAAGCTTTGCCCTGCATGGCACAAAAAAGTAAAACTGCTCGCAACCTAAATTCCTCAGTTTTGTTAAAAAAATCCATTTTCAATACCAAGTAGAACACGCTACTGAGGATAAGATCAAGGCTACAGAGGGGAGGGATTTACATGGTAGGGAGAATGGGGCGTAGGCTGAAGCATGATTTTGTGCCGCAAATCATTAAGTTCTGGTTCTGTTACTCTCGTACATTTCTATAAGATAAACCTGGGATGCTTTCTTGGGAGTGGGGGAGCATTTAGCAATAACAGTGGGGGACACTGTATGGGAACCACATCACTGTAATGTACATGATTGTCTTGGAACAGAAACCCTACATTCTAATTCCTGATTCAGTATTTAGGAAACACAGATAGTATTTTTAGCAGTGGCGCGTTCCCCTATCACACTCCCGTGAAGCGCGCTGGGTATCTGTCCATCACCTGCGTCTCCGCCACCGGATCCTGAGCTGCCGTATATCTTGCAGTCAACTCCGATGCCAGTTCTCTGTTTTCGCAGCTGCTTCGTTTGGAAAGATGCCTGATCCACGGGCCTGAGTGTATGATCATATCTATTGGTGAAACAGCCGGAGTGAAGCGGATGAGTGCGAAGCTTCTAAACAATTGATCAAGAATGAGGAAGGAGAGTATTAGTGATTGTTATTAGTGTCAAAGTCCTTACACAAATCCTACTTGGAATCTGTACAGTAGGTGGTGGGTGGTAAATTTTTTAATAGCCAAACATCACAAGAATGATATGCAGGGTTAGTAGACTTAGAAATAATGTGAATGTAGTTGGTGCCAAAGATGCAAAGACACACTCTGACCTCTAGGGGTCTGAAAGTTTATGCACATATTTAATTTTAATTTTATTTTATTACAGTCACAAATACCTGAAAAAGACTCCTTCAGGATGAGTCTTATTATCACTACAATTTTATCTTTGCATCATAGTAATTTCATTTATTATGCCGCAATAATAATTTAAAGTAACTAATAATTAATAATTATTATTTCATGAGGCAACCATGAATGTCACTGCTTTAAGTGTCCCATATTGTTTATGTTTCGGTGTGTCACAAAACAACTGAGAATCCATTTAGAAAAATTGCTCACAAAGAGGGACTTTTTGTACAAACCAAGTTTTAGTGTTTATAAGAATAACCAAGGCTTAAGGATGCAGATTAATTCCCTCAAATTGGTTAGGTATTCATATAGCATTAAAGCAACACTTTACTATATGGTCTTGGGAGTTTTTTTTCACAAAATATAAACGGTTTCCTGAAATTTAGTTTCAAAATATCACTTGGATATTGCAAAAGTAAGTAGAATTCATATAGGTTACAAATTCAGAGTAGAATTCCCCTTGGTCATTTTCTCAATATGGTGCAATTTGACTCATTTTCCATTTGCAAAACTTCAGTTAGAAAGGCATTACTGCATCTAGAAAACAAGAGCTCACATGATCTTGTCACAGTCAAAAGAGCAATTTGAAACAGTATTCGGGTTACATGCTGCATTTAGTAAACAGTCATCGTCAAGGCTGGACTGTTCTTAGAAGTGGTCTCCTCGTGCTGATTTTCAACGTGTGTCAATATGGCGCTCTCTCAAAACTAGCAGAAAATGAAATATAAGATCTTCTGTCCTTGCCAATCCCTGTAGAAGCTCACATGGAGCAAGTCCATCCTAGATGTAATGTGGCTGGTTCATTTGGATCCGACAGACTGATATCCCCCTAGAAAGATCGGTATATCTCTTTAGGGTGGACGGGCTTCTCACTGCGTGCCGTGCACGGTTTGACCTTTTCGCCTTCCCTGAGCTTGGAAGCCACTTCTTCCTGCTTAGTTTTAATCTTAAGGAGCTGAGAAGGAAAGAAATTCTCATATTTACTGTTGATTTCAAATAAATGTGGACTCTGTGACCCCGTGCGGGATGAGTGTTTGGGAGATGGAAAGTTAGATGAATTCAAACGTAATGATGTATACGTTGGCCTGCATCTGCACTGTAATATGATTTTTGCCCGTTAAGAGGATATAAATCCCATTCGCTTCTGCTCCTTGAGCATCTGCATCCAATAAGGTGTTTGAGGTGGAGTGTTTCAGAGCCATGGCTGCTACAGCTGCAGGTCTGCGTGACCAAACGCAGCCCGGCTCCATTTCTTCCTCCGGCGGCACACTCACCTTTTACGGCGACGGTCTACGAGCGGAATCCTCAGCTGTCCCGCTGGCACGCGGCCTCCCGAATTTTGATGAGCCCTGCAGGCACCCTTGCGGGGACCTGCTCCGGTGTCCGCGGGCCACGCCCCTGAGAGGTCGACTGAGTCATCAGAACGTGGACAGCTGGCTGGACAGGTGCGATAAGGCTGTTATCTGCGCCGCCGCGAGCCCACTCTCCCAGCCCGTTTGGAAGCTGAGTCATCACCGGATCTTTCTGCCCCAGGCGTTGCCCTTGGCCCACAGAGCCAAGTGCTCGGGTCCTGGTTTGATGAAGTGTATCTAGTCTGCTCCTTAGTCTCATTCAATATCCCGCAACCCCAAGACCATCCCCCCAAAATACCCCGAGCATCTTTCAGTGTCTTAGCAATGCAAGCAGTTTAATGGAACTTAAACATACATTTTAATATCAATTATTAGCCTGCATTTTATCAATCTTTCCACTATTTTGTAGTGTCTTTATTTTAAACCCTTTAACTGGGCCTCGGGTAAATTGAAGGAGTGTCAGGAATAGAGTTTCAATCCAAATGTGGGCCTGACAGAGGAATAAAGCACAATGACAGTCACAGGACAGACAGGTCAGCTGTAACCCAGCGCAGGACATGTACAAACATGATCTACCGCTGTGAGGGTAAAACCTGGTGGCCATCATTGTAGGGAGTAACCCTTCTCTGAAGAACTGACATTTGCTATTTTGACAAATTAAGTCACGAGGCCAGAAAGCTATTTTACTCTGACATAATAACTTGCAAGGGTTTTTATTTATATTATGATGTTATTGCACATATATATCTAATTGTGATGCATTTTTGTAGGAGTCCTTGTAGGAACTTTATCGTAAATTAAGGTTCTATTTTTTATGCAATATTATTGTAATCCAATATTAATATGGATTTTAATATTTCACACACAAATAACCTACGTTCTGCAGAAGTTACAGTTGAATACTTATTTATACTGAACAGTAAATTACTTTTGCCATATTATATATTTGTAATATTACTACAAGATTCATGTGCATTGCTTATCAGACACGTAGTCGAGCTGTGGTACAGTCTGTGCGTGTGTCCAGCCGTGTTTGTGCCTCTTACAGCAGCATCAATCCCTCCATCCGGCTACTCAAGGCTTACGATGGAAAATTAAACGGCGGGCGATCTGCGCGTTATTCATCACATATGGAGTATCCAGTCGCGCATTGCTCCGCATTCGTTCTCCAAATGTTGATATGCGCTAATTCCCTTTGGCTGCCGGGACTTTACATGTGGTTCTGATCAGCAGCTCCACCAGAGCGATCGGCACCGTGGGCCGGGCTTCATTCCTCAAAACGACCGTCTTCCTGACCCGGGAAACCCCCGTGTTTCACAGACACTGTCTTGAGCGGCACCGCGAAGCCTTTGAAGGGAGCTTAAGTGATTAGCTGGAGGACTTACTGCCAGAGTCAGACTTTGGGGTTTCACTTAATAAGTTCATTTCCATAGCAACTGCTAATAGTTCCCCAAACTCACTGTTATTTCATACAGACTTTCACCAAGTTTCCAGTACTGATTTATAAGTCCGTGAAAAAGAATGCTATTCATTGTGATTTTATTGCCCCTTTTGCCAATACAAATAGCTGAAATTCCCCAAGAATCTGAACATCATAGATATTTTTACACACAGTTTTTTATAGACACAACTCTGTGTGTGTGTGTGTGTATATATATATATATATATATATATATATAAATTATTATAATACCTTGTATGTATAACATAAAACAACCTTTACTAATCCCACAGTTGGGAAACTTGCATTGTTACAGCGGCATCTACAATAATATAAAATATAATAACAATGAATTATGGTTACATTTGATATTAAACCCTTAAATGTAATCTATATTAATCCGCCTATACAAATGATGTCAATGATTTTTCCTGCAGTGTGGGGTTTCTGGTGACCTGGCTCAGCATTATTGGTGAGAAGCCCTGCCAGACCGTCGCAGGGCATCTTCCTTAATGCTCCTGTTTCTGCTTCCCTGTCAGTCAGCTGTGGTGTGTAAATGACAGCTAAGCTCATCTGTATGCTCATTTGATGCACGCTTACATCTGCCATGAATCAGCAGGGGATTCGGCTAATTGAGAACCATCCAGCCTGCATCCACCAAAGGGACGTTCACGTGCGCTCGTAGGGCTATTTAAAACGTCTTTGTTTTAAACTTGTGAGAATCTCTGAACGTGTGCCTGCACTTTAATTTAACAGTACCTCCGAGGTCACTGGCTGCTATACAGAGCTGGTTCAGCCCAAGCCGTCCCCGATGCCTGGCTGTAGGCCTCATGTGTGCCACAGAGCCATGGCAGTGGGGACCATCTCCACGGGCTTGCCTCAAAAACAGCTGAGTCACACAAGAGCTGCCTGCTCTGCTTGAAACCTCAGCTGGTTTTCTGGCTTTAATTACATGATTCATGTCAATGTGGAAACCGTTACAAACGCAGAGCATATAGCTGAGCCCCCTTTTAGGAGGAGGTTTCCTGTTTCGCAGTTGCTGCTTTTTGGCCATTACAGATTCCTGTATTTCCCGACCGTTCTCTGTTCCATCTGGTCATTGTCTTTTTATGAGTATGCACACAAATGAACGAAATGCCGAGTCTGCTAAACCAGCATCTTCATTATTCTTCTTATTCTTATTTGAGGCAACGTGTGGGGATTTGTGATCAGAAGTTCACTGGATCAAGTACCATCACTGATAGAATGATTTTACTATTGGGACCTTGAGCAAGGCCCTTAACCCCTCGCTTATAGCTTGCTGTGGACCGTTAAATAAATTATGTGAAATTATTATGTTTATTATTACTACTACCTCCAAATTATAGCAATGGCTCATAGTGGGTTACTTGAAAAGAACAATTAATATTTGCTTCAGTTTTACATACAATCCAACATGGTTTCCTGGCTTGAACTGCATATTGTTTGCATATTCTATATGACATTTGTGTATGGTGCGTGTGTAGGCTGAACGGGCTCATGGGACACGTATACGCCGTTACGAGCAGGGGCTGCCCTCCAGGGCGTGGCCCTCACATGTACGGAGATCGCTGCCAAGCCGGGATACTTGGGAACCCCTTTCTAGGCAGCTGCATTGTGAACACGGCTGAAACTTGCCTGCCCTGAGGTTCTGTCTCTAAATCAATGTATTGACTTTAAATTATATGTTTATTTTGCGGGGGGTTGGTATCCGTTGCCCCTACATTGCACATATTCTTAAAAATACTAAAACTATTAAAGCACACCTTGTACTGTTTTGTCAGATTTAGTCAGTTTTCATTACATTACAAAAGCGATCTTCATTTTTTGCACTGGGAGAAAGTTTCAGCCCCCAAAACCTAGGTGTCCTACTTATCTCTGAGGTCTTTTTCAAAGGATATGACTCTCAGTGAGGGGATCAGAGAGGTCCAGTATCAGGGGTCAGTTCCTGATGGTGGTGTTGGAGCTCTGAGGTAGGTCGCCTCACCCATAACAGGGTACCCAGTCAGGCCAATGGAGGAGAGTGTGGGACTAAAGTGAACTTATTTCAGTCAATGTTCATCTGAGAGACTTTGGCAAGGGATCATATCTTTACTTTATTGGTTTCCAGTCACCCGTAATAAAAATGAACACACCTTTTATTTTTCTTACAATTTAACAACATGTATTTATTGCTTTGAGGAAAACTTTAGTGTTACAAAGTTATCCTTAAAAAATCTGTCCATAAAAACTTGGCATATTATTAAAATAATAATCACAAAACATAAATTTCCCTAGGAAACAGAATCCCAACACGTTTAAATTTATTAGTTCGGTGCTTACTTCTAAAACGGCAGGCAAACGCAATAATTTATGTGTGTGAGAAAGTGACTTTGGTGGCATAATTACATAAAATATTTTATGAATCCAATTTGTAGTTTTTTTAAATGGTAAATTTAGAAATTTTAATTATGACATTTTAATTATAACATTTTAGAAGAATTTTTTACATATTGAAGAGAAAAAAATTCTCATTTGTAATAAATGCCCGTTACTGACGTTAAGTCGAGTGTCATCATTAAAATGCAGGCAGGTGGGATTGTGTATTCTCACATTCTCACGGGTGCCGTCGGCAGGAAACCAGGCACTCTCTGTGAAAAGCCTTTTCCTGGTTATTTCTTTTCCAGGGTGGTTGTGAGTCCGCAAGTGTAGTGAATATTTTATACTGGGTACAAAGCCACACAGCCTGCAATAAGCATCCATTCATCTTGTCCAGGACAGGGTCACTGTTAGCCTGGGGCCGATCCCAGGAAACACGGGGCACAAGGCAGGGGACACCCTGGATGGGGGAGGCAGCCTGGATGGGGGGGCAGCCTGGATGGGGGGGGGGCAGCCTGGATGGGATGGCACTATCCATTATATTAAGTAGCTAAAAGTGGCTTTTATATTACATGGGACATTGTTAGGAAAAACAAAAGTAGAAATAAAATGCTTTGCTGTTAGTTAGCTCTTCTTAAGAGTGTGAGAGACATCTGACACTAGGTTGCTAATTTTTGCTACGCGTTTTAAAAACACACGGTAATGTACACTCTGCACCAGTAGTTATATCGCATAACCCAGCAGTAAAATTAAATGGCCATGGAAGTCATTTTTTGGGCTCCGCTTCTTGATTTAGGTGTCTACAGCACATTTTAATAAAGGGTGAGATCACTGGGGTGACAGAGATTCCATTCCGACAGACTTTCATTATCCCAGAACGTACCGGAATTCCCAGCCAAACAATATGACTTTTCTGTTATTGCGCAGCGCACTAAGAGTTGCAAAATTCGGGACCACGACTTCACTATTTCATTGCGTCATGTGACCCTCTCACTGACCGGATAACCTCGTAAACTGTGTTAGTTCTAATTAACTTTACTGAAGGGTTTCTAATTGTTTTTCAGTTGATTTCCGTGTGTTAAAGCATCTCTCCCTGCCAATCTCTCAATGATGTCCTACTTAAGCTTGCACAATAACCCTTGTTTTTTAAATTTAAAAGAACAGCTCCGGCGTGGGCCTTGACTGGGGTGCTAACGGCTACGTGGCTACGGGGGACTCAGTGTCTCAGCAGTGGGCAGGTGCCAGGCGTGCCCGTCACTGCTGTTTATGTGGCAGTTAGCTTTACCCCTCTCATGGGACGAAGTCCCCCGTCCAAGGGAACGAGGCTTTATATCCACATTCATTCTCCCACCCCAACCCAGAACGGGATGTTCTTTGAGAAAGAAAAAAAAAAGAAAGAATTGTCTTCCAGACAGATAAAACTGATAAAACAGACATGACAGATGAGACCAGGGGTACCGTAAAGAGATGGGGAGGGAATTAGGATGATTCCAAGGGCCTCTAAGTGACAGGGGCCCTAAAAAATCTCTAGCACCCCCCTAGATGAAACCATCCAAAAGCCTGATCCAAAATCATCCGAAACTGGGGAAAGTATAGTCATACCGCCCATACTAATGTTTCGTTCAGCGATGGATCACATATACGATGGTGGTCCAATAGAATTATGCAGTAATGAACCTGACAAGTGCTTATTGCCTAGTAACGCCGTAGCCGTCGTAACGACACAACGCAACACATCACTCGTGTGTTTGTGGTGATGCTGGTGTAAGCAAACCTACTGCACTGCCAGTTGTATAAAAGCATAGCACATACAGTTATGTACGGTACATAATGCTTGATAATGATGAACAACTACTTTACTGGTTTATGTATTTACTCTTCTTTACTTTTTGTATTCTGCACTGTATTAGACTGTATCATCTATGTTTGTGTTAGTACACTCTATGACATATTCCCATTGTTAAGCGATGCCCGTCTGTACCCTACTGAATGCTATCAGGCTAAAATTAACATCGAATGCATAATTGCTGGTACAGTGGACATTTACCTTCAATCGGATCACTCCTTTCCAGAAATAGATTGCATGCATTTGAAACATTCATCTGGCTCTCCAGTCCTTCAGCTGCCCATCCAATCTCTTACTGGGTTTATCTTACATCCATTATCTGCCAGGTTCTGTATGAGCTCTACGTGTTTAATAACAAATAAGGCAGAGGAAACGTCGCTTGTAATTAAGCGGCACAAAATCATCAGTGATCTCATAAACTTGCCCCCCACTTTAAGAATTTCAGCGGCTGGATATGGGTCACCCAGTTCTTCACACGGCCACGCCATCAAATATTAAAATGTCTGCGGAGGAAACATGGCGTTTTGGGCGACAATAAACGTCTGCTACTATTTTAGACAATACGTCTAGAACCGAAGACGTGGCTGGCATGCAGTCAGCTTGCAAGCCAGCCCGAGGATATCGGCCATTGTACATGTGCTTATATTCCTCCTTTGGTTACCGGTGACACCTCACCACACAGGGAGCAGCCTTCGGTGCGAGACTGGCTCTCCTGAATGACTCACTAACTCGGCACCCCAGTCGGGCCCAGCCGGGGAGGGGGGGGGATGATGCTGGAGGTAGCAATGGGGGTTGATTATGAAGAAATCGCAGAAGTTCTCCGCTTTTCTGCTGATGAAAAATCTACCACACACCGCGACTGTGCCGTTGAGCCATTTGTGCTGTATAAAGCATCTGGGAGTTGGCCAACAAGATTCCCGTTTGTTTTTTCCCCAAGAAGCAGGAACACATCAGAGGCAGCAGAACGTGTGTTCGTCAGACAGGGGCTTCTTATTGTCGTGAGGAAGAAAGACAGAGTTATTCTCTCAGGATGTCCCCATTCCAACTATTACTGCTCACATGACCTCCTTAGCTGTGCTGAGATATTATGTGAAGGGTAAGGCAGCCATGTGCATCAGGGAAGTTGACAGTAAACACATACAGTAGGTCCCCGGGTGAAGAAGGTCCGACTTACAGACAACTTGTACTTAAGAATGGACTGCCATAAAGCCTATTATATCTGATCCTTGTTCTTTGTTTTAGGATCTGTTTCTTTAATGGCTTTTACAGTACAATATACACAAATTCTCTCCTCATCAATATAGTACTGTATGTAATTTTTTTTATTATCACTATTATAATTCATTACAATTATTATAATTATTATAATTGAATTACAATATAATTCATTATATTATTATTATTATACACTGAGTCACTATGTTTAAGATGTTTTAGTGTGTTTGAAAGTGCTTATTAAGTGTTTTATATGCATAGAAAGATAAAATATATGCTATATACCAAGACAAACCTTTGATTTATTGACGCTTACTTACAAATTTGACTTAAAGACAGACTTAGAAACGGATCTCATTCGTAACCCGGGGACTGCCCACTCAGATGTGCACATTCAGCATATCCAACCTGTGATTTGTGTCTGGCTTCAAATGAGCAATCCTGCATTTGAAGACAAAGGGGAGGAAGATGTGTAGGTAGAGCATAGGGAAGATGTGTAGGTAGGGCACAGAGAAGATGTGTAGGTAGAGCATAGGGAAGATGTGTAGGTAGAGCATAGGGAAGATGTGTAGGTAGAGCATAGGGAAGATGTGTAGGTAGGGCACAGAGAAGATGTGTAGGTAGACCACAGAGAAGATGTGTAGGTAGAGCACAGGAAAGATGTGCAGGGAAGACTCAAGGCAGACCTGTATCAAGGGCAGAGGGAAGATGTGTAAGGAGGGCAATATAAGTATAAGATTAAACGCAGAAAGAGACATGGACCCCCAGCTCCGCTTCAAATCGTCTTGTCACCTATTGCGCTCCTGTGGAATCTTCCAGCCGCATCCTCCGTTATCCGTGCAGGAGATTATAATCGCCGTGGTGACCGGAGCCGGAGGTCGGCGTCTCCCCGCCGTTTGCTCAGCGCACCGGTGAGGGGGCGAAGGAAGCGACGCAGCAGGAATAACCGGCCCGTTCCGGTGCGATGACTCACACCTTGCTGCCGAGCGCCTCTCTCCCTTTAACTGTATATCCTGATGGGAGGTGCAGCTAAAAATCTGTAAAACGGGTTTGGGGGGGTCGCCCTTTGCCTGGCGAGCCTCGAAATGGTACGTCTGGGGACCGGGCTGACGGGGTTCCAGCGGGCATCTGTCAGAGGCACATCGACTTTGGGTCGTTGGCCCGCGAGTCATTCCGCACAGGCCCTCAACCTGCTGCCGACGTATCCAAGAAATTTGTCTGTGCACGTAGCTCATGGGAGCCAGCGAATTTCAACCTGATGCTGCTGCGCTCCCTCCACCTCTTACGAATATCTTTCCCCCCTAGGTGAACATCGCTTACAAATGGTAGCATTAGCTGCAGCCGCAGCTCGCTAAGTCACACCCTGGGATTGTCGTATCTGGCTACCTGTCAGAACAGAGCTTCAAAGGTGTGAGTCACTGACAGAATCGCTTTATTGACATGTCGGCTATGTTCATGTTCACTTTACTGCAGTGTATAAATGTCATCTTCAGCTTCACTATAAAGCTTCTTTCTCGAAATAAACCCCAAACAATTGACTTAGCTTGATTTCTAAGCTGTGCCATCCCATTTAAGCACTATTAATCAGCCAGCATAACAATACTGGAAAACATCAAAGTTTTGTCATTTTTAAGTTATTTTGTGTATTAGTCAATAAAATGTCAATAGCTACCATAAGATATCTGGATTGTTTTTTCCAACAAATTGCACACATCTGGTTAAAAGTACATTTAAAAAAAGACATAGCTCTGTGGAAGCCATTATCTATTCAGACGTTCACACCAATACACTTTGCTGACTCAGCGAGTTGGTTATCCAGAAAATTCCAAGTGCTTAACAGATTCATGTTAATCTCAGCCATTTTAATTGCACATGGGATATTGCTCTTAGCGCTGAGCTTGAGTCACCGATCCAGGAATAAATGCTTGTTTTGAAGCTTTAACGTTTACATTAGGATGTGATCTTTTTCCCCACGCATTTTTTAAACTTCTGTTTATTGAATTTACAATAATAGTTTAAAAATGGGGTAATGCTTTACTTAAGGCCATGGTTTCAGCAATTTATAAACACGTTCATAATGGATTACAATGCATTCATAAAGCATTATAATCATGGCTATAAATATTTAGAAAAAGGCATAACACATTATAGCCATGTGTATTATGCATTATAACTGCCTTATGAAGCTCTCATCTATAATGTATTATAGATACCTTTATAAAGCAGTACACAGCATCCTTAATGCTTACACCGACCATTATAATGCATTATGAAGGTATCTATAGTGCATCATAGATGAGAGCTTCATAAAGCATTCATAATACATAATACACATGGGTAAAATGCATAATGCCTTTTGGTTAATATTTATAGCCATGTTTATAATGCTTTATGAACACATTATTATTTGTTTTGAATGTGTTTATAAATTAGTAAAAACACAGCCTTAAGTGTTACCAAAAATGGTTCACATAGCATGTTAATTCACAGTACAGTATGCAAATGGGCATAAAAAATATGCACAAATAAAAGTGTCCAAGCATTTTCCCAGGGTGAGAAACCGCCAGAAACAGTTATAAATGGCTATAAATGATAACGGCTAGTGGCAAAATAAAGTGTGATGCCCTATCAGTCCTGTTGGGGTCCTCACCAGCATTGACGTTCAAACATTATTATAAAAGACAAAAAGATGAAATTTCATTTGTGCCAAAGGAGAAAATTGTTCTCAAATGTAAAAGATATGGGGGAAATATTCTGTAAGGAGACCACTGCCGGCGGCTGTCCACCTTTGTTATCACTGTAATCAAGTAATTACCACCCCCCATTTCAGCTGAAGTAGTATGGCCGGTTAATCCAAACATAGGTCTCCTTCAGACACCATACCCACGGGAGGGGTGGAGCCTGGCGCCGGACACTCCGATGTGTGGACTCTCAGCTGCTGGCTTCGTTTAACCTTATGGCCCCCGGTTGGCATTGAGAGTGGTAGCACAACTGGGAGGCAGCATTCACAGTGACGGGTGGTACATAAATACAGGGTGAGGAGGACGAGGAGGAAGCCAGCATTTGCACCCACCTGCAAACTGTGAGCAAATTAGCATTATCTGTGATTCCTCACCAAGGCAGGAGGATGTATATCTGTTGGATCGAAGCTGGGTTCCCACAAGAAGTATGAATGCATTATTACGGCTACAGGAAGGTAGAGTGGCCAGCACCGTTATCCGTCACCTCCAGGGTTGGGGGTTCAAATCCCACCTCCACTTTGTGCGCTTTGAGACATTTGCAGTAGCTTAGTGATAAGAATTGTGTAATATAATTCAAAATACACACGAAACAAAAAACAATTGTAATCATTCTCACACCCAAGCACAACCTGTAACGTCACTGTCTAGCTATACAACCACAGCTACTACCATCCCAGCAAGCTTTTTGTAATTTGCGATGATAAACACACACCTTGAATGCTGTAGTGAGTAAATCATGGCAACTTAGGTACGGCGCAAGGTTAGCCAAAATTCATGAGAAAGCGCAGGAGAACTTGTATTGCAAACTGAACTTAACATTTTATGGACACTATTTGAAAAACAGCTGACCTCCCCTCGGGGAAACAGACATCTTAAAGGAATTTTTGTTATGACTGAAAAAAGGTTATTTGTGACTGATTACAGTCAGGCTTTTTTCCACAATCTTGTGAGCTTATCCACGTTATTTACAAGAAAAAAAAGTAATTCCATCTTGAGAGCTGTGACTGAGAGCTTACAAAGGAATTATTGTAGAGACTGAAATATGTTGGATTTTGTTTATTTCAAGACTGGTAAACACTATAGCAAAACTGGCTGAAACTCCACGCAGGGGAGTTTATGTCTATTGAAAAGATCAGGGGCTAAGTCAGGTTTACCTGGGGCTTGACTTTCACTCGTGTTTTTGAAGGAAGATTGGCATCGGGTCTAAAATACTAGGGACTAGGCTTAAAATACTCAGGGCTATAGCCGCGAGTAATCGGACCTAAAGACACCCATGGCAACCATGTATATCAATGATATTTCTCATGCATGAGTGGTTATTAAATCTATCATTTTAAAGTACTTGAAGACAGATTTTACTGGACTGTTCCATTTACAAGCAAAATACATATAAAGTAAATCCAAATTTACATGGTGAATCCTATGCTATGTTTTGTGAAAATGCAAATATTATCGAATTTTTGCATACGGCAAGATTACTGACAACTCAGAGATTATCATGAGATTTTGTTTGTTTATTTATTACTACATATTTACCATTTACACCCAAGATTGCTGCCAAAAAATAAGCCGACAATACCCTCAGTCATGATATGGACCAATACTAGCTGTTTTGTGCACTTTTCTTGCACGGGAATAATAATGAATAACTGCTTTGCTTCTGTATGTTTAAGTACACTGACAGAGCTGCTGGCGTGTGCATAAGAGTAAATTTATATAGGAGCATGTGACCATGTACAGTGACAGGACTTTTTTTTGCTTTAGTGTCTCTCTAATATACTAAACTAAATTTAACTTTCAAACCATTCATATAATTACTCCACAGTTAAAAGTCAATATTCAGAGACATGCAATCATTTCTTTACATTAAACGTTAACGTTTTACTTTAAAATATTACATTAACACAAAATACAATAATTCTATAAACACTCAATTTAAGTGATAAAGGCCTATAGTAAATAAAGAAAAAAAGATTGCACATGCAAATACTATATTTTTAATTTATTTTAATTTCTTTTTTCCTTCACAAATTTTAAGTAAATATTTTACGTCTTTTACTGTATTAGGTTTTGTAAAGTACCACAGCAGTCTCCGATACCTATTTTTCAAATATTGGAGAATGGATTCAAACCCACATACTTATAATGCATACACTATCATTTATGTAATTTGTTTTGGTTTTATGTACAGAAATGCATTGAAAACATTTAAGAATAATTCAACCAAAATGCCCTGTGTTGTTAAATTAATAAGATTTTTGCAGGAGTTATGACTACTTTACGAACAAAAATGATTCCTAACTGAAGCTAATGATTTAATCTTCAGCTAGTGTATGGGTGATACGTGCAAGAGCAATAAGGATTTTTAGGGGCATTATGATGGCAAAACCGAAACACAACTGCCCCCAAAAGCCCCTCATTCTCCCTGCGGAGTTTGCCACTAACTGTGACAGTCTCACAGCGCTACATCCACACATCCATGTCCAGACGAGCTACGGACATTAGATTTGCCTCCATCTTGGGAAATATTCACCCTTATTGGCTAATAAAGTCTGGATGGGCTTTGAAGGCGAGACAACGAGATCCAGAAGCGGGACTTTGCGGGCCAGTTGGATTGCAGTAAAACTCATCTCGCCCCCAAAATCCCGTATCTGAGGTCACTACCAAGATCAACAGGCGTACTTCAAAACCAAACAAAGATTAAATATATATTGAGTGACCTACATGAATAATATGCATGTTCGTTAGCTCAATATCTCCGTATCTTAAATATATATAGAACCATCTATAATACATATACGGGGGGAAAAAATCAGCCATACCAACCTACATGCACCAGATAACCTACTTTCATCTAAATATTACTGTCAAAACTGGCAAGGCGTGAACGTTTAAGAAAATAAGTAATCGAATTGTACAATTGATGGCTTCAGGTCGCGACAAATACAAATAACTTCTGCAGCTGAGCCCCTTGCCTCGCTTTGTCTTTGCGAAAATCAATATATCAGAGATCAGCTACCGCAAAACAAACAACCCAAAACACTTTCAATGATTTTTCCAAACGTCAGCTGTAAACCTGCTCATGCACACTGAAAAAGTATTAAGTCGCAATACATTTACAATACAACCAGGACGTTTGTCGACGCTCGAAATTCTTAACTTTGAAGCGCTGTTTAACAAACATTATTGAGTGTTTTAATATGTCAAGCATCGGCCTTATACAACTAACTCAGCTGTAGCATCCATCTACTTGTTTCTTTTTTATATTTGGATGGTAACTTGTAAATGCACGCAATGCCTGTCATTTCTTATGAGGTCACTGGTGGGTATTTAACCTGGTTGAGTCACAGACACAGACGGTGTCCTTGGTCGCTCCTATGAGGCTTCAGGTACCATCCCACAGACACAATCTGTCTGCATTCATTCACGATAAGAGAAGATTAAAAGCGATTTACTCACACTATCTTAGGTACACCATTCCCTTATCACAAAATAATTAAATAAGGTATTCTTCAATTCCCGATGTTGACGTACGTGTCTCAAACGCATCCCAGTTATATGCAATGTACATTTTTGTCACACCTGCTATAGCCTTTCGCACTGTAGTAAGAGGAGCAAGACAACATGCTTTAAAAATACCTCCCTAACACACACACAAAAAAAAATCAACAAGAAAAGGAAAAGAAATTTAAAAACGCCTTGGATAAATTTAAACTTACCCTAATTAGTCCGTGGCATTCAATTAGCTACGAACACACAATGCTATGTATCATTTACCGTCGTTGTTCCTTTAAGAATATATTTGTATAAGCTGGCGAGTGCGGCCCGTGTCTGGCGCTCCTGTCTCATGGCATTTTGAGATCACACTCCAAGCTCCCCAAACATTTCTTCCTGGTCACGCCACTATGCAAGTAGAGGCCAAAAGAAGGGGAGGTGCAAGAAAAGACAAAGATTTTTTTTTAAAGATTGCAATCTATAGCCAGATCGATCCCAAGCGAGCGAGCGAGCGATCCGGAGCAGGATGAGTCTTTTCCGAGTGTTTGCAGTGAGGGATCCGCACCCGACTCGCCGGCGGACAGCCGCCTTAACGTCCCCTAAGAAACAGCATCGGCCGCATCGACTACTATAACCTTACCTCGTTTAAATGCAGAAAGTTTGGCGCATGTCTTCCCGTGGCAGTCTTATATTTTCTGATTTTTCAAATTTCCTAGAAGGGACCTCCTAATATAGAAGCGGGGCAGAGACATTCCTAGAAATCCAGCGGACGTCATGACCATTTAAAACAACCTGTGCCTTGTTCATACAGCACCCGGTTGCGGCTGGTAGTTACGGGTACACCCGAAAACAAGCAAAAGTGTGAAACGTTTCCCAAACACAACCGCTTCTTGAACTGGAACGAGAGCAAGGAAACAAAATTTCCATTGTTGCTTTAAGAATACCAGTGACTAATTCGTGTACTGTGTATACTTGCTCACCTACTGCCTATCATTCACAAACTGGGTACCACCTAGTAATGAATCATCTCTACCTACATTGATGGGACGTAGCTTTCCCACACCATCCTGCCATCCTCTTAACACGGCTTTGTTATTTTACCTGAATGCGTTGAAGTGCATGTACCTGTCTCGTTGTGGTAAAATATATTCTTACTGTCGTTCATGTTTTGTAGACGAGTTACACTTTATTGAAGGAAGTTGTTAAATAGTCGTCTACTGAAACCTTGGAAGGTTTTAAACTGTTTGCTGACCCCTGCTGGATTTGACTATATTGCCAATACACGATGCTGAATTAGTAACATACATTATGTAAATTCGTATTATATGAGGAGGAGCTGCCTTGAATTTTTCCTAAAACTATATTTGATATTTGAATAAAATCACCGCTAGTATAAAGGCACGGACGGGGTTCGAACCCGCGATCTTCGGTTTACGAGACCGACGCCTTACCACTTGGCCACCGCGCCTGCGCTCGTAGGTTAGGAAAACATATTAAAGTGGATTAAAATTAATTGCTACATCATTTTTTTCTTTAAGCTATCTGTCGAAGGCTGTCCACTTTAAATTAATGAACAGGTTACCCGTTATATAGTATGGCGTCTTTTGATTCATTCCATGATATACGCTGCATCGACTCGACCGCTAGCCTTTCTATCGGTACCAGACAAAAGCCATGGGGAAAAAAGAAATACAGTGATTTTTAACCAGAAATACTCATTATTAGGAGACAGGAAAGATAACTGAAGACAATATTATTATTATTAATAATATTTTTGCTATTAGCTTGACATGAACACCAGTACCACAGGGCACAGGTATGTAAGTGGAAATACACTCACCTAAAGGATTATTAGGAACACCTGTTCAATTTCTCATTAATGCAATTATCTAATCAACCAATCACATGGCAGTTGCTCA